AGCCCACCCACTCTGGCCAGCCCACCTTTGGAGACTCTTAGCAGGCCCAGCCTGAATCCTGCCTCTTCTAAGAAACCACCTAGTGAACATTGGTTGAACAGAAGCAGGAATGCTTCAGCAAGAGCTGGTCTCTGTTCTCAGAACGTGTGTTGTACTTGCCCTCCTGGAGCCCCCTTGAAAGGTTTTTTGGTAGGCATCCTAGTATGCTTTGTCTCTGCCGGAACCACCTTCGTTTCCCCCAGAACTTGTCATCCCCACCCAGCTGGGCCCCTCCTTTCTGTCCTCATAGGATCCAGCATGGGGGCAGCCCGCAGCCGCCTCAGCACTTAGGCATTGGTTCCTGGCTTCCTGGGAAGGCAGGCGGGTTTCCCACCACTCATGCCCCCGACCTTTCTCCCTGGGCAGAAAAGGACTGGACAGAGGAGGACCGGGGCCGAGAGAAGGTGCTGATGCAGGAGCTCGTGACCCTCATCGAGCAGCGCAACGCCATCGTCAACTGCCTGGATGAGGACCGGCAGAGGTGACATGGCTGGGGAAGGGCTACCCTCTGGGGTTCCTCGCCGGAGGGGGTCCGGAGCGGGCCTGGCCAGCCCTGTCCTCACTGCCAGCGATCCCATTGCACCCTTGCTCAACCCTGTCGGAGGGACTCAGAGGCTGGAAGGGACTGGGAATATCCGGGCCTTCCTCCTGTGGGACCCTTGGCTTCCCTTTCTCGTTTTAGGGAGGAAGAGGAAGACAAGATGTTGGAAGCCATGATCAGGAGGAAAGGTGAGGCCCTCCTGGGGCTCTGGTTCACCAGAACGGTTGGCGGGCAGGTTGAACAGAGGGTCGGAGCGGATGCTACAGGGACGTTGTGTGCAGACTCCCAGCCTCTCTCTTGCCGGGAGGGCCGTGTGTGGCGAGAAGGGCTATGGCCTGGGCTGGGAGTGGGGGGCTACGGGGAGGGCTGTGGTGGGCAAGGGGCGCTTTCCTAGGGTGGCTGCCTGAAGCCAGGCATTCCTCCCTGACATCTGGAGCTGATCTCGGAGGAGGTGGCGGCCTCACACAGCAGTGCCTACCAGAGACGAGACGGTGCCTGGAATGGTGGAGAGGGCACTGGCCGCGGAGTCAGGAGACCCGGGTTTAATCTTGGTTCCACCAGTGACTCATTCTGTGGCTTTGTGGTTGGGTCTGGACTCTAGTCAGGCTGCTTGGGTTCCAGTCCCAGATCTGGAACTTACTAGCTGGGTGACTTGGAGCCCCAGCCGTTTCAGTCCTGTAGGCCTCCCCCTCCTTGTCTGCAGATTGGGGGTGATAGGGGCACCCCTTCACGGGAGGGCTATTCAGATAATGCATGTAAACAAAGCACTTAGCTCCGGGCCTGGCAACTACAAAGAGCTCCGTTGGTGTTAGTTCATTTCAAAGGCCCACATTCTCGTGGTCTATAGGCAGATGATTTCTGAGGTTCCTTCCAGCTCTGTCCGTGTTTGCGTTGTAACCCACAGAGCTGAGCACCAGCCTAGGGGTCGGGCCTTTTCATGATAAATCTTGGCCATGCTTCAGAGTTCCAGACTGTTTTCACATTCGTTTATTTCCGGATCCTTGCCAGAAACCCCATCCTGTAGGCCCAGAAAGGTGAAGTGACCTGCCCAAGGTTCCACACGAGGTGGAGGGGCGGAGCTGGGCCTCCGTCACGGCCCCTGGCCTCTCCCGACGTACTCCCCCTTTCTCTTCTGCAGAGTTCCAGAGGGAGGCTGAACCCGAGGGCAAGAAAAAGGGGAAGTTCAAGACCATGAAGGTGCTGAAGCTGCTAGGGAACAAGCGTGATACCAAGAGCAAGTCCCCGGGGGACAAGAGCTAACAGCGAGGGCAGCCGGCTGGGACTTTCACCCCTCCTGGCTCAGCCCCTGGGCTGTGCTCCACTCGAGGGCGGCGGGGGGGTGGGGGGCTCCCTGCTTCCCATCAGGATCAGTCCTGAGGAAAGATGATGCGAGGGGAGGGGGCCTCTCGGTGACAGCCTCTCCCTCCTCAGGGTCCTGTTGCTGGTCTGGGCCAAAGAGTTTTCTTCCCCCTTCTCTGAGCCGTAGGCAGCTGTGGCTCAGCTCTGCCCAGTCTGGTTCTGGTGATTCCAGATGCTGGGACTGACCCACGGAGCGAGCAGGGTCCTGGGTCCAGGATCCAGGGAGGGGCCGCGGCCCAGCACACCCGCCTTGCCCACCGCCCAGCCCCTGCTGTGACGGGCAGCCCCTTGGTCCCTCCTCTTCCCTTCTGTACTGTGTCCAGAAGGGATTCTTAGCTGTCACAGTCCTGACCTGGAGGTCCTTCCGCCCGCGTGGTCCGCCCATGGCCGACCTCCGGCCGGGGTCTCCTGCCTTCAGGCCTCTGCTGCTGTTGGCAGGCCAGCACTCAGGGCTTGGTGGCGCTGGCTTCTTCCTGCCCCAGCCCTGGCTCTGTGTCCCCGTTTTCCTTTCCAGTGCAGGTGGCCCTGAATCTGTTTCTCCTCACTCAGGAGCTCTATTTATGAAGTCTAATTAGGTTTGAGCTCATTACTGTGTCCTCAGACACAAACGGGCCTGATGGACAAATCCCTCCCTCTGTCCCTCAGAGTTCTAGGAGGGGCCTCTCTCATTTCCCCTGGTTCCATAGGAAACCTCACCCCCCGGAGCCACGGGGCTGGGCGGCCACGCCGGGTGGATGAGGGTCTCTGGGAGGCAGGCCCCATGGCAGTTCCTGTCCCCGATCATCAGCCGAGGGAGGATGTTTCACAGAGGTGCTAATCCTGGTTCCTTAACACATTGTAGTCTGACCCCTCACTTAGACCTCCCCCCACCTCCCCCAGGGCTGGGGATGGTGGGCCTGTTCCTGCGTGTGGCCGTCACCAGTCTGTCTACTCACACTCGACTGTTGTCCGTTCTCTCCTAACTTGTTCCCCCGAAGGACTGATGGCCACTTACCCCACTGAGATGGCCAGGGGAGAGGAGGAGCCAATGGGGACAATGGCCTTTTCCCCAGGGAATGTGTCCAGCAGCTCTCGGTCAAAGCACTGTTGCTATAAGCTATCTCTGGGGTGCTCCAGGGCACCCCCCTCAGCACACCTCTGGGGAAAGTACGCACTGTATGAACTCACGAGGATTTTCCTCGCCAACAATAAACGGAGACAACCTCAGCTGCCGGCGCCCTGGAGCCTTGGGTGCTTTGCCCTTAGCCGGGTCTGCCTGCTTCCCTGTGTCCGCCGCATGCTGTGGCCGGACATCTCTGGTCACCTGGGCGGGACCTGTGGGGCCGTCCCTGCCAGGGAGCCTTGGTCCTCAGTGCTTGCCAGTGGGCAGGACTCTTCTGCGGCTGGGAGAGGTGGCTCCCGCACCTACACAGCCCCTGGCGGTCTCCTTCCAGACGTGCCTGTTGACCTGGAGCTGGTCACCAACTCCACAAAGGCTTTCAGGGGCCAGGCAGGTCACATGCATGACCAGGCGGGGTATAACCTGAGGAGTGGCTCTGGCAGGCTGTCTGGGTGTCTGGAGACTCAGGTGGTGGGGACTGGGGTGAACTGGGGTGTCTATGCCCCCAACTAAAGGGGGAAGTTCTTCGTTACTTAAGTCAACTGTAGTTTGTGGGAACGTGGGCCCAGTGTTGCCAGACTCTTCCATTTCTCAAAAGAAGCTAGAAATCCAGATTGCGTGTGCGTGTGATTTGTAAACGTTGGCAACGGATCTGAATTTAAATCAAGGGTAGGCTGTATTGTCACGGGTGGCCAAATTTGTCCTGGCATTCTCCAGTTTGCTGCCTCTGGGCTATGTGAGGGGGCCTTTGAGGTGGAGGACAGCTGTCCTTGTCATATTATACCCTCTGCCCTCAGGTTCTGGAGGGTGTGTGGACACAGGCCTCCCATGGAAATGTTCCTGAGCCAGCCCTTCATCTGGCCTCTTCTACTTTACCTGTTTGGGGCTACGGGGCCATGTTTGTTCTGCAACCCAAAGCTTGGGTCATGTATGTGGCCTGTAGGATGATATGCATCCCTCCAGGTGGGAGTGTTGGTTGAAATTGCCAACAAAAATTTTTGGGGGGTGAAAAGGGGGATTTTGTTAAAGCACGGGGACGGGACCCGTGGGTAGGAAGAGTGGCCTAAGTTTCCAAAATATTTTGACGTGTGGGGACAGGAAAGTGTCAGAATACCGGAGAATATAGGGCTCGTGGCTGTGAGAAGAAATGGGGACGTCCATGTGCCGTGTGCCAGGCCTGGGGGCTGTTCTTGTGGTCGGAGGTCTCCGTAGCCCTCTGAGGCAGGGCTTCGCCGATGAGCAGTCGGAGCGGAGTCTGGGGTGCTGCCCAGGCTCGCAGAGCACAGGCTGGGATCGGAGCTCCAAAGCCGGGCTCTTTTGGTCTGTCTCCCACCCTTGTGTCTCTGTGGGCCGCGGGTTTAGCGGAAAGACCGAGAACTAACTTCTAACCCTTAGTGGGCTACTTGAGTTGAATGACCTTGGTTACGGTGTCCTGGGGAGCCTCAGATTTCACACAGTGGGTAGCAAGCCGTCCCAGGGCTTTATTGAGCAAACGGACCAAGTGAAATTCAGCACCTGCCATGGTGCCCGGCCATGGGCTGTTCAAGAGGTGTTGGTTCTCATTTCCACTTGAGACGTGCAAATGGCTAAAAACCATCCGGGCTTGAAAAGTCCTAACTCCTTGAACACATAAGCCTTCCCTCTGAAAACAAAACAGTGTGTGTGTGATGACCTAGGGTAGAGGTGTCTTACTGGCCAGTTAATGGTAGTCGTTAAACATTTGCCCGAGGCTGTAAGAAGTCAAATAAATAGGTCCTAAGACAGGTAGGTTGAAAGGACTCCCGTTCATTCCTGGGTTCTGAAAAGCAAATGCGTAGGGCACACAGCGGGTGCTGGGTGGGGAAGAAGGGGCCCGTGGGATGCCCTCTGACACGTGGCCAAGAGGGTGCGATTGGGCCTCGCCTTCACTGTATGTGGGCTCTTTCCCCGAGAAAAGACTCCAAGTCGTGTGTGCTTATGTGTGTGGTGTGTGCTGGGCACGTCTGTGACTGTGACTGTCGGTCTCAGTGGCTCAGCCGACCCAGGCTCCCTGCGCAGAGCCTTGAGGAGAATCAGCTCATTCTCGGAGATTGGGCCATTTTCTAGGGTGCTGCGTGCGCCCAGGGTTCCCCGGGCCAGGGCAGTGCCGTGTGGCCATTTGACGTGGCTGAAGGCCAGGGTAGCTGGGCTGATGGGGGGGGGG